AAATGTTCTTTGTTTCAAAGCCTGACGGCTATCTGAAGATTTTCATGGGAACATGCCTCCAATAAGCAAGTCCACCCCCTTATTCATATTTACTTTGAAGAATAAGATTCTGATAGGTATACAGGATGGTGCCCAAATAAAACAAACATTCCATGGGTAACTCTTGGTCAATTCAGTCTATTTTTGCCCTCAGATATTTTTTGCGAATTAAGAGCAAGCAAAATTTTCATAAATTGTATTCTGTCACCAAAAATCACAAGTAAAGCTTCTTACCCTTCCAAAATTGCTTAAGATTACCTTATCCAACAGGGATGTATGGTTCCAATATATCTGATATAACAAAAGTAACGGAGAGGCTCTGCATTTTTCCAGGTAAGGTATCTTTGAGAAAAAAATAACGAGTTCAATGGGAATCTTGGATCTGACCTTGAGCCTCACATTCAGTGCAATTACAAGGCCAACTTTTGCTTTTACCTCCTACACCACTGGTCGAGGAAATATTGTAATCGCGAAAAAATCGAAAATGTGATGTTATGTCGCTCATTCCCGTCGGTCTGTCTATATGTCTGTCCGGTAATCCTTGGCCGGTCTAAGACTGGGAAAGTGCCGCATGGCTTTGGATGAAATTTTCACACAAGGTTACTACTATGCCAATGACGAAAAAGCTTTGTATTTCTTGAAAATCGGTCCATTGGCGGTGCAGCAAAATTCCAAACGTGAAAAAATAAAATCACTCAAACTTAATTTCTTCGGAAAAATTGGGGGGTTGTAGGGGTGGGGGGTATTTGCAACGTTTCGATGTCATATTAATACACTTACACAATACACAACCCAGGTAGTGCTACGGACTTATTAGTCATATTTTACACATCACAGATGTCCCCATACATTTGCTCTTAAAAATATTTTGTTCTCTTTAAATGGCACAAAGTAAAAATCTTACGGCACAAGTTTATTACTGGATTGTTCTGTATGGAGATTGTTCCCGACACATTGCTGTAAGGCGGCTATCCAATATACGTGAGGAGTTGCATTTGTACACATACCGAGTGTTACGTATATTGCAGATTATAGTTCTTCCATCCTACTGGGTGAGTAGTGAAGATTTGTTAGATCCGGTTTTTCAGTCGCAAGTTAACTTGGGTAACCGTTCCTTGGAAGTTAACTATAAGTTGCCCGAAAATTCGTTTTCAAGTTTTGGTTAACCAACCTGCAGTCGCTGATCCAGCAACGCTGCGTCTACGTCTGAACTACCGTATTCAGTGCGTTTCGTGACGCTCGATATTCGTGTCTCGTGTCATCCCTGATAAATCATGTCTCTGTAAAGCAAAACTGCGTTAACTACAACTTTCAATTTCACCGATACCTAGATCTCTAGTTAAAATTGATTACTGTTTAGGACAAACCTGACATTGAAAAACGCTTTCGGTTAGCAGTGAATCTGCAGTTAACGTACGATTGAAAAACTAGGCTTTAGAGTTATACGTCCAACTCGCAGACTTCTTCCTCAACTTCTAAAGTGCAGTAATTCAAATCCCGGAACTTCCGAATTTCTCTGGCACAAGCACGACCATAAGAATTCAAAATTCCATTTTTTCATACCTAAACTCCCATAGTTTTGTTGTTCAATTCATTAATTTTGTATCTATTGTGGTTCATTAAGGCTCCACGAACTCCCCTCTACAGTTTTTCCGGAATCGGATTTTCCACCTTCCAGGTCCCGGTGTTGCACTTTTCCAATCTGCGAACTTCTGGTGTCGTCGCAGACTAGAACAACCTTAGCATCTGCTGCTAGCCGATCCTCCTACTCCTCACTTCCTAAGGAGCAATTTCCACTTTTTGATCAAGGTAATCCCATATCTCCGTAATGACTAATGATCCTTGCCTCATTTCTCCACGTTGACAGACGTATGACAAGTTTATCCCTCTTTAGACATTGCAACTCCCACGCAGGTACGAGTACAATACCTTGTCCCCTTCTCTCCTTAATTTCATTACCCTTAAGGTGGTATACCTTTTCATCAGGGTTTCAATGCCATCTGTAGGTATGAATAGCCAATCTACCCACTCCATCAACCCGGCGGATCGTCTGTCGCATGTTACCATATGCACTGCGACACAGGTCAACCACTGAGTGCAATACTCAGCTGTGTTTGTGGGCGGCAGTTCACTACCATCAAAGGCCTACAAAATCATCACAGAAGATGCCCCAACCCCTCCCCAAACATCCACAGGAGGCCCCAAAAATGACGGTTTGGTGTAAGCTTTTATGACAGGAAATATTTAACATATCCTGGCACAAGGCTGCACACCCAGAAAGTTCATCCTTTCGAGTACAACATGGTTTAAAGAGCACCAAATCCTAAAGCAGAAGATTTCATCAGGCTTGCCAACAGGGCTGACCAAACATAAAAGCCCATCTACAAGGAGTACCTCGCGCTAGCCAAAGAAGAGGTTCGCAGCCGGCAAGGATTCGCATTCACATTGGAAGCTAGCAGACTTTAAGAAACTAGTCTCCCAGTCGACTATGGAGATCCGGCACCAACACGCCAGCAGGAGAAGTTCAGCCCCACGCGCGCTTATCGCTGTGGGCTGAGGAAGTTTCGTGCCATTCTTGGCAATAGGAAGAACGAGGCACAAGATCCTGCCTCGGCGAAATATGTTGCACCACTACGACAGAATCATACCAATGCCTGTAGTGGGTCTTTGTGCATTGTCACCTCTCCCCCCGCCGAAGAACGCCAGGACACTTCCCAATTGCGGCACATAATCATACATTTGTCTTTAAAACTTAGAATGGTAGACAATCTGGGCTCAGCGCCGGACATAACGGTCTGCTTGATTGTTTTGTTCATGCTGCGGCGGTGTTTCGATGGGCTACCAGTCTCAAAAGGGGGCTCACGATTTAAAAGAAAAATTGACCTTGAAATAACTTCGGAGGTGAGGCTAGAGGTTAAATCCATTGGAAATACAACCTTATCTAAGTGGAAAATACCCTATATTTCAAAGGATCGCCACTTGAAATTTTGCACAATATTTTTGATAATGCCGTGTATGGTAACAGATTGATAGTTCCCAAAAACTCGATTAGTAAAATTGCTTTATAACAAAATTTTCCACCACGAGTGTCCCGACGCAATTTTCCTAAACATCCGCATCAAATTCCGATACAGATGTCCACTAAAATTAAATTTAGATATACATTTTCCACTGCCACTATCGACAAAATATTCAAATTCGTTTTACTTATAAATCACATTACAATGAGTACGCTTTTATATATTGGATCATAAATTCTACTACACCACTTTTATTAAAACTATTTTGAAAAATAAATGCATCATGCTTGAAGGATGATGGAGAACTGCTACAGATAATAGATTGTAAAGCAGAGCCTTTCAAGATTATAAATTGTCTGAATTTCTCTGGATATTCATATTCGCTTCCTTTAGACTAATATTTGATCTGGTTGGTGGCATGCATAGCACATTCTTGGTGGGCTAATTATACGAGTACATACAGGGTGATTCATCAAACAATATAAGTGCATCCAAAAACAACAAAAAAAGTTTCTAACATGTCCCATTACCAAGATTTCTATCCCGCAGATAGAAGTGAATAGGAACAAATCATAAATATTGTTTAAATAACGCTGTGACGGGATGGGATTACCCTCTTAATAAATTATATGCAATTTTCAATATCTAACTACATCGTATTTTCAAAGCAGAAACTATTGAAGTTCTTTATAGGGATTTCACCTCAAATATTCAGACCAAAATAGTCTAATCAAAATTTCTCAATATACTCGCTATATGTAAAATTGAATAGGTCATTTGAAAATGCAATAGATGCTTCAAAAAAGTTAGTCGTGTAGAAAATCTTCTTACTTCTGTAAAGGTCTATCCACTCCAGAATATGACTTTATGAATTTCATAATTATAACTTCAACATATGTTTATAACAGCTTTTTGTTATTTTTTGTTCTACTGACCGTGTTCTTAATCAATCTGTACATTCTATTCAAATACTTGTAGCATTCGATTTCCAAGAATGTCTCCTAAACAAAATGAAATAATGTGTCAATCAGACCATTTAGATTTTGATATTTTTGAAGAGGTAAAGCCAAGTGAATCGAGCCGGTACCTGATCCCAAGCCCATAAGGTATAAAGGAAATAGCGTACATCACGAATCTGTTAGTTTTTTACCGATATTGACGAGAGGGCTACCTTGATAATGATAATAATGCATTTCGTGGATTTTGCTGCCTATTCCAGTGGCAAGGAAATATTGTAATTGTAAAAGACATCTAGATCACGAAAAACCTTGTCACTCATTTCCGTTGGTTTGTCAGTCGTCGGTCTTTCTGTCCGCTAGTCCTTGGCCTGTCTATAAAACTAAGCAAGCACTGCTCGTATTTTGATAAAATTTTAACACAGGATTAACATTATACAAGGACTAAAAAGCTTTGTAGTTTTTAAGAATCGCCCAAGTGGAAGCGGCGAAAAGGGCCAAAAACGAAAAAAATAAAAATCGCTAAAACCTTTTGACATTTCAGAGGATCCTGATCATTTCAGATAATTTTTGCGGCGGTTGAAAATTGAATTTTTGGGGTTGTAGGGGTGGAGGAGAGAATATGTAAATTTTTCGGTGCTAGAAATTCATAGGTTTTCAATCCAAGTAGCTGAATGATGATTCGTGTTTTAATTGTACGAGCTTGTTTGACGGACATGATCCGTATCCATGTTCGTAGCCAACTTGTTTTCTATGATGGACTAACATATGCCAATATAATCATTTAGGAATTGATGACAGCGTTGCGTAAGAAGTGCAATGTCAACCTACTTAACGTAATTTTTTTAATCGAATATGGGAGACATTTTTCCGAAATTTTACTTGATTGATGATTTTATTTTATTTTGGATCGAAGTTTTGCTGTGACATCAGATAGTTTTCAATGTCAATTCCTAAATAATAAGCAATAGGAGTTATTTTCCAGCATGCTATCTAAGAGAACGCTAAGGGATGATTACTTTTTGGACGAGCTGAACTACCCCATGCTCCTCGATAATCACGAAAAGCAGGCAAAGAAGAAAAATGAGGTGGATTTTGGAGTCAACAGAGGACATAGTGGAGAAAAGGAACATATGTTCAGGATGACTAACAATCTGGCAAAATATGTTGGATAATACATGGATACTGTATCAGAAAGTTGTGGTTGTATTTATAGCGTTTTTAATAACTAATAACGTTAAAAGGTATTCCCAAGCATGGGCACCCGAAGGAATTTTTTGTATATTTTGATTGTCAGATCTCAAAAAGATCAGGGGTAACAAATTTTCTCCGGAGGGCGAATCTAAAAAATCTCAAATATAGTAGAAAAAAATATGATAAATATGCGCCGATCGACTTGAGGCACACAAAATAAGGAATAAAGGTTCTTAGCACAAAAGTTACTCCATTGCTCTAGTGAAATAACGACTTAGGGTATTACTGAAAACTAATATCACAATTTCTTACAAGCTGTAAGTAAAACGTGCTAAACTGATACGTTTTTATTTATTTTTAGGGAAACAAACATAATCCGGTGAAGAATTATTTCTATTGATAGGTTATGAATTGATTTATGAATTGAAGAAGACCACAAAGCTTATAAATATGACCACCACTTTGATCAAATGCTATTTTGTAAATGATTTTTACGCTTAGACTGAATAAAAATGATGTTTTCAAACTATTGATCCGTTATTTTTTGCCCTTCGTAGTTCAGTTAATGCCATACGCCACCTGGAACCACAATTTGAGAACAGTGTAAAAAGACTAAAGTTCCTCTTAAGAGCTCATTTTTGTCCCACAAGGCTGAGGTTTCCAATGAGAAAATGTTCAAAAATAGGGATAGCGATCTGATCGTCATACTCACACTGGGTCTTTTTTGAACTAGCTACCACTTACTATGTGTCCACTTGTAGTAGCTGTGTGTGTTGCCTAAATATCAGGCTATTTAAGCTATGTGCTAGGTCTCTGATATAATTTGCTTTAAATATCGTACTAGAGGAGGCCTTCTACAGCCTAAGCTGTAAGGTCTGCATTATTTGTCACTGAGCCATTCCTCCACAGATGTGCCTTATTAGGTGGAACAATTGCTATGATAGCAATCTGATCACGATACTTGTCACTTGTATACTAGCTAGTCGCTAAGGACGCATCTATGGAGGAATGACACAACTACCTATAGTATAGAACTCACAACTTAGGCCATATAAGCTATGAATGGCTTCAACTACTCCCATATCTCAAGCAGATGTTACATCACATCAGAGCTAAGCATCTGATGTTTAAGCAACACACACATCTACTAAAGTGACCATGAAGCAAATGATAGCTAGTTCCAAAGTGACAAGTATTGGGATCAAATTGCGAACCTTGTCATTTTGTAGTTACTTAATAAAGGTGCGAACGCATAGATTTCGAATCCGATGTCAACTTTGCACCATAGACTCATTATGTAGATGCGACAGCTACTGCCGGTTCCTCATCTTTGGGTCCATAACTGTTTGGGGCATTCCCTACCTGATTCCAATGGCGTTCCGGTGGGATTTATTTCCAGGAGTTGTTACGCTTCATTAGTTTTACGTCACGAATATCACACGTCAAATGTTAGTGGGTTTGTGTTCAAGTAATTCTTAAATGTACCACCATTTTGTAGTAAGCAAAGGTATTGACTTCATATTTTAGAGTTATAAAGTACTCGTCAGGAGCTTCAAAATGATGTGCCACAGGACCCCCGTTTTCATATAATTTTTTTCCAAGATGGCACCCAGCGGCCATCTTGACATTTTCATCTGTCAATTTCATTATAAAATATGGTATCCTCGCATCAATTTCACTACCTCAAATTTTAATTTTTTGAATTGATCCGTTCAAAAAATCAAAGGGGAGGGGGGCATTAAAGAAAAGCACTGTACGTGTATAGAATGGGGCATCTTACATGTTGTACACAATGAGCTTATCACTATTTTTAGCAGAGAGATTCTCAAATCTGAAAGATTCTGCTAGTTATATTTCATACTAGACATTGTTATTAATATTAGTCATGATGACTGTCGGCTTTTCGGATCTTACTTCTATTATTACCATAACCAAATGAATGAAAATTTTCATCTCGATAGGATAGGGTAAATGCCATCATGAAAATTCAGTTATGGTCCTAGAAACGGCCCATGTGATCCTTTGGACCTATTCGCGACCTTAGGCAATGGCATTGTGCAGAAGATCCCTAAACTCCATTCAAAGTTCATCCTATGGCGTTTTGCATCACAAAAGCCGGAAATCCAAAGCGTAGTTTTGATTTATAGAGACGAGATATAAATAAATTATTCCAGCAACGCATATCATGGCATTACACGGAAGACTTCCAAACTAGACAGGCGAGGCATGCATTGTGTGAATTATAGGATTCATATTTGTAAATATGAAGGTCAATTGCAGAATTTCGGAAACACCTACCCAACAAACATTATACAATATGCAGGGCCGGCCACAGACGGTAAGCAAGCCGCCTCAGAGGGCTGTATCATGGGAGCCGCAAAAATCTCGTTCAAGGGCAGATCCGAGGGAAGGGGGAGTCACGGTCCCCACACTAGGCGGGTGTCGAGAACGACCACCCAATCTCCTCCTCCCTATCCCCTCACCCACTTTTCAGGTATTACAAAGCATTAACTCTTAAAAGCTCCTTCCCCCCCAAGACGACAGCTCCGTGAGTTATTTTTTCGGTGACCTCAAAAGGTTAATCCGCCCTTTGTTCTTTATCATCCTTTGCTTCAGGTCGAACAAAACTCTAATCCTGATAATATGTTTCTAATAATACTATACAACTCCAGAATGGATCCATTCACAAAAATTTACTTTTGCAATTGAATTGACCTGCCAGGGAGAGATTCCGTATTTTTTTATTGCCGATAACAAAAATACGGTGTGGTGTAATATACACATAGGCCTTTTCAGCGTTTTATGCGGGTTATAGTAAAACCACCGGTACTCTTTTGTGCATCTGTCTCCCTCTCTCATACGTTCTTTAGTTTCGTCTCGCCACCTCGAAAATGTTCTCGACAACGCAACGTACGAGCACAGCTTAGATAACAATCACCTATGAGACTCTCCTGTCACTGACGAAAACGGTCGCCATTTCGGCGGAGAAACTCGAATGTAAATTCCCCCAGTACACCGACGAAATAGGTTTTAGTGCTCAGCAGGAGCTGGTGTTGCCAAGTACCCTGAAAGCGGCCGCAAATATAACTTGCAATCCTAAAAATTATACTAACCCGATATGATCTGGTGTAGTTTGTGTGAACCAATAATAAAGAGGAATATGTTTGTTCAAAAAAGTTTTGACGATTTTTATTTATAAAAAGGTTTTAAAATCAATTCGTATTGGTGGAAGCTTTATCAATAAACAGAAAAATATTTACTTTGCTGCTGCGATATTCTCTATCCATTCCATTTTCAATGTTGACACTGTTAAAATACGGCAATCGAACTATACGCTCCTTACTGCGAAAATATGCCGTTCTCCACAAGGTGATTCATACTTACATGACAACACATACATTTTTCAAATGAATTTTTTTAGAATGAGCGAATAAAAAAAATATTTGTGTAAAATGGCTTAGTTTTGCTGATGTACAATATTTCTTAAATCTCTCATTTACATGTCCATGTCCTCTCGTTTTTCCGCAACAAAGACACCGAAATTCTTATGATTGAGTGAAGGCTGTATTTGTCAGGTTTTTAGTACTGCTTACATTGAAAATGCAAGGGACTGATTATATCGCAGGAACGTAGAAGAGAACACAAGAAAATATTTACCCGTTTATTGTACCATTGCAAATTTATTTTGAAGCTTTTTCGTCGCTTCTTTTTGGACAAACATACTGCTTTTTATTATTGATTCTCACAAACTACAATAGATCATTCCGAAATATTATCATTCTGCGATTGCAAAGAATATCTGCCGCCGCTAGCATGATGCGTGGCAACACCGGCTGTTGCTGAACACTAAAACCTCTTATATCATTTTACTAGGGGAATTCACATGCGCTTTTCTTCGCCGAAATGGCAACTATTTTTGACTCTGACAGGAGAGTTTCATAGATGATTGTTATCTAAGCTGTGGTATGAGTGTCCCATCAAGGCTTATCACTGACAGTGTGATAACACACTTGTCGTGAGCGTAGGATTTGAGTTTACCTTTGCCGAAATTCGTCATATAAAACACAGCAATGCCTGGAAATAAAACTAGAGGACATTATTCAGAGTTTTGCAAAATTTATTGGAGTATTGACAGAAAGTAAATGCCCTTTAATATTCAATTCAGGTGTGCAAAATCAAATGAGTTGACGGTGGGCTTGCGCAGTGTGAAATTTCCGCTATAGTTCAGCTTCGCACATGGTAAAAACAAGATGAGAAAGATAACAATGAAGACAACTGTGGCGTCAGCATATTTTAACGATTTTTCCACGCAGAACTTAGTTACGGTTTTCCATTACTTAGCACGTCCCAATTTATTTGTAATGCATGCAATATTTGAACAAAAAGGCCCATTATGCAAAATGTAAATCTCCTTTATCAAGGGTCAAAAAATGGCGTCAAGTAGGTTGACTCTGCACTTCCCACGCAACGCAGTCATCAGTTCAGAAGTATTTTGTTCAGTACAAGTTAGACCCTATATAACAGTTGCAATTAAACGGACCAAATCAAATCGCCTCTCACTGATACCTATCCCGGTCAGGTTCAGCAGCGCGGCAGTAATGTCAGAACCCTTACCGAGACCGGCACGCCGCCGAGAGTAGAAGCATCGAAAACACTTCTCCGTCATTCAGGTTTCAAAGGCAATGTTTATGATCTATGAAATATGTTGAATAATTGCGAAGAATTACCAAGGTTGTGAACGTATAAATATACTAACATCAAAACTCTTATTTTTCTATATGGAATTGTACAGTTTCATTAAAAATGATTATTATTACTGTTATTATTAAAAAACTGAGATGTAGCCTCCCGCACCCCAAAACAACCCCTCACCCCCATTTTTTTTAAATGTTCTTAATCCAACCAGTACTTTCTAAGTTATAGTGGAATCAAGGATTAGCAGTCAGGCAAACACAGAAACAAACTGACAGAAATTAGTGAG